GGAAGAAATTCACTTCGTGATTTATAATGTTAATGGTTTGAATAGCCCTGGGAAGAGATTCAGGATATTTAAAGAGATTCAGTCCTCAGTGTTTTTTTTTACAGGAGACACATTTGGGGCAAGAAACAAAGGTGAAATTGAATTCCAGATATTACCCATTATGGTTTTATGCAGATTCCCCAATTAGAAGAGCTAAAGGAGTGGCAATAGTTTTTGTGAAAAATATAAGGTTTAACTTGAAGGATAGGTTGGTAGATCCCGAAGGGAGATTTCTGTTTCTGAAGGGAAAGCTACAGGAGATGGATTGTACATTAGCAAATATTTATTGCCCGAATAAAAAACCGGAGGTATTCCTAAAAAATACTCTGAAAAAATTACTGGATTTCAAAAAAGGCAGTTTAATTGTGGCAGGAGATTTCAACCTTTGTATGGATCCTCAGATAGACACGACGTCTCCTGTGCAGAAAGAGGAAAGTAGATCTCTGAGATCCTTGAAAAAAGTGGTATATCAATGCCAACTTGTAGATATATTGAGAATTAAACATATAAAGGACAGAGATTAAATGTTTTACTCACATGCACATGAGATGTATTCAAGATTGGCTTATATATTGCTCGAACATCGACTCCTTGAGTCCTTGGTCAAAGTAAAAATAGAAGTGATGTCAATATCGGATCATTCACAATGCAGTTATTATGGGGAAAGGAGCAGAAGGGGGGAAATGGTTGGAGGTTAAATGAGACACTTCTTCAGGATCAAGAGACAAATCAGAAAATTAAAAAAGAAATAGAGCAATTCTTTGAAGAGAACGATTCGGGGGAAGTGTCAGTGGCAACGGTGTGGGAGGCTCATAAGGCGTATATTATAGGAATATTGATAGCGGTAGGAGCAAGGAAGAAGAGGGAAAGGAGAGAAAAAATGAATATGCTCCTAGGGGAACTTTGTGAGCTAGAGCAGACACACAAACATAGAGCATCTAAAGAGACTATGCAGAAGGTAACAAATAAAAGAGAATAATTAAATAAGTTCCTGGAAGAAGAGAAAAGTATTTAATAAAATGATAAGTGAGAGATATAGATGGGACGACAGGCCAGGAAAGTATTTCATGAGGGCCCTGAGGAAAAAAAAAAACTAGGAATTACATAGAGAAAATAAGGGATCCTAAAGGATAATTAGTGTATTCAACTAAAGATATAGCTAAAGTGTTTAAAGAATATTATAATAACCTATATAATATTACTCCCCATAGAGCTAGATATAAAGAAGGAGTAGGAAAAACAGAAAAAAAATACAGGCATACTTAACAAAGGCGGGTTTACCGAAAATAAGTGAGGAACAATTAAAATCTCTTGAAACAGAAATAACGCAGGAAGAAATAGAAATAGCATTAAAAAGTACAACAGCGGGGAAATGTCCAGGACCAGATGGATATACTGTGAGGTATTATAAAAAATATAAAGAACTATTAGTACCTAAATTGAGAATATATATGAATGCATTGGGTGGGGAGATGGAAATGAGGAAGGAATCATTAAAAGCACATGTGGTTCTCATACATAAAGAAGGTAAAGATGATACTCACTGCTCAAGCTATAGACCGATATTCTTATTAAACACAGACACTAAACTTTATGGAAAAGTCTTGGCAAACAGGTTAAAAGAACATATGCCGGAATGGATACATATGGATCCAGTAGGTTTTGTCCCAGGGAGAGAGGGGAGAGACAATGGATTGAGATCTTTGTATCTTATACAAAAAAGTAGGAAAGAAAAAAACCCTGTGGCGGTACTTTTGATTGAGGCTGAAAAAGCTTTTGATAGAGTAGACTGGGGATGTATGTATGATGGATACACTGGAAGAATTGGGGATGGGTCTTAGAATGAGAGAACGGATAAGGAAATTATATAGTCAACCTTCTGCAGCAATCATGGTCAACGGGGAATTATCAGAGTATTTTGGGATGCAAAACGGAACAAGACAGGGTTGCCCTCTGTCACCACTTTTATATGTGTTGTCATTAGAATCTTTATTAGCTACAATAAGGAATAATATAGATATAAAGGGAATTTGGATAGGAGATACAGAGCATAAGGTGGCAGCTTATGCAGATGATATGCTGTTCTATGCGGGAAACCCAAGGATAACATTGCCAATTTTAATAAGAGCATTGAAAGAGTATGGGGAAATATCAAATTTAAAAATCAATCCAACAAAAACAGAGATTTGAATATAAATCTTCTAAATAGTGAGAAAAATAGATTACAGGAGGAATTTCCCTTCGTTTGGCAAGAAAAAGAACTAAAATATTTAGGAACAAAACTAACTATCTTCCAAGAACTTGTATAAATTTGAATTACATCCCATTGTTAAATGAGATTAAGGATGAATTTAGGAAATTAGGAGGGGGTGCCCAGTCGTGGATAGGCCGTATAAATTTGATAAAAATGGTGATCGTTCCAAAAATTCTATATAATTTTCAAATGATACCAATTAAACTAAAGAAGTATATTTTAGAACAATTAAAAACATGTTAACAAGATTTATTTGGAGGAATAAACAACCGAGAATAAATTATGAGATTTTAAGTAGAATTAAAGAGAAAGGTGGACTGGGAGTACCAGACTTGAAAAGATATTATAGTTCGGTAATAATGGCAAGAATTTTTGATTGGACACAAAATGCAAAAGGGAAAAGCTGGGTTAAAATAGAAAATACACTAAGTAGTACAAGCTTAAATAGAATCATATGGTTACCTCCGCAATACAGAGGATTAGCAGATAGCACAAGTTTGTTAACATTAAATGTTTTAAGAGTGTGGGACGTTTTACACAAACAGATGGGATGGGAATTTAATTCTTCTTTATTGATGCCTTTAGGGTCCACAGAGTTTTTCCCCCCAGATAAAGAAGGAATCACAGGTAGGTGCACAAAGAAGGAAGATGCCCAATTAAGGGATATAATGGTGGGGAAGGAAATAGGATCACTTAAGGAACTGGAAAAAAAGGGAGAAGTTTTCACAAAAATGGATGAGTGGCGTTATTTTCAATTGAAACACTTTATAGGAAAGCTTCCAAAGCCTTTAAGAATAAGAGAGGAATGGAACCTGTTTGAGCATTTGTTACATACACGGGGAGATGGGAAACACGGAACCTCTAAAATATATAAGATTCTCACTGAAATAAACACTGATATAAGGCCTCCATTTATAGAAAAAATGGGAAAAGGATATAGGAATAATATTGGATACGGAAAAACTGAAGAAAATATATAGAATAATACATGGAAATGGAAATGTGCAGGAGGTAGAAATGAATTATAAGTGTTTGGCAATATGCTATATCACACCATGTGTGGCACCTAGATTAAATGGAGATAATTCACATTAATGTTGGCGTGGATGTGGAGGTAGAGGCACAATGTATCATATATGGTGGGAGTGTCCTAAAATCCAAGAGTATTGGGAGAAAATAGTAAGTTTGATTCAAAAAATCTCAGAGGTTGAGGTATTAAAAGACCCAGAGACTTGCCTTTTTCATGGTACCAAGCTTTCAGTCAAAAAATATAAAAAAAGTCTGGGGTATTGTATTATTTGAACGCAGCAAAAGGATCCATTATGCTCAATCCACAGATCCGATCCATCCTGCGGGGATCGTTGGCTTCCTTTACAACTTACCTTTCCTTGGAGCGGGTCCGGTGTCACCCCGTATAGGTTGCATGCTGATGATCCCCGCAGGATAGTCAGCATGCAACCTATACGACACCAGACCCACTCGACAAAAAGGTAAGTTGTAAAGCAAGCCGACGTTCCCTGCGGGGATCGTCGGCTTCCTTTACAACTTACCTTTTCTTGGAGCGGGTCCGTTGTCACCCCGTATAGGTTGCACGCCGATGATCCCTGCAGGATAGTCAGCATGCAACCTATACGGGATGACACCAGACCCACTCTAAGAAAAGGAAAGTTGTAAAGAAAGCTGACGATTCCTGCAGGGATCGTCGGCTTGCTTTACAACTTACCTTTTTGTCGAGCGGGTCTGGTGTCACCCCGTGTGGTCGGTGTCACCCGGTGTTGACCGCACCTGCCACCTGCCTCGGGATGCCACTGCCAGGCAGGCAGTGCCATGGTTGGGATTCGAACCAACAACCCTACTGCTGCTAGACAAAGTACTAACCACTGAGATCACACAGCATGATTCCAGTTTCTTTTTTATAATGAAAGTATAACTAAAGGTATTTTGTTGTTGTTGTTTTGGAGTGGAGAAGGATTAGAACACCTGTCAGGTTTTTATTGCTGCCTGTGTTCCCACTAAGGAGATTCACTCTCTCGGTTTGTAATGTTTGATGTTTGTAATGTTTGATGTTTGTAATGGTTGATGTTATCACCAAAAGTGAAAGGGAAAAAGTATCACAATTGTAAGTCATCTCAAAGACAGGGTGGAACCCGATTTGCTCAGCAGGGGATCTGTCCACTGATGGATCCCCTTCCGTTTTTTTTTTTTTCAACAGACTGTATCAGATTGGAGGTAGGTAGGCGTAAACAGACATAAGTTCATTTACACCTGCTGGTCTGTAGGAATACATGGACCATCTGATCAGGTCCTCCTGAAAATCTGACAGGCAGACCTGATCAAATCACCTATGAAAAGAGCAAAAGCGACGGAAGATCTTACACCAGTACACCAGTCCTAATGACCCTGCTGACAACCAGGGATCCCCACAAAGAGAGAGTGATTTCTTCTTACTTCCTGTTTTGGCTATTTAACCACCTCCCGCCCGCCATATAGTAATATGACGGGCGCAAGGTGGTTCTCTTGTTCTGGGAGGACCTCATATGACGTCCTCCCATTCTCACTGCGCATGCGCGGCTCAGGGAGCGCGCGGTGCGGCGAACGGCAGTGCGCGGTGCGGCGAAACGGCAGTCCCTCGGACACAGCAGATCACCGATCACGGAAAGAGCCGAAGATGTCGGCTCGGTCATGTGATCAGCTGTGTCCATTCACAGCTCTTCAGATTTAAACAGGGAAATGCCAGTTATCTGCATTTCTCTCCTCTCGAGCTGTCACGCTGATAGAGGAGAGGAGAGCCGGTAATCGGCATTCCGCGGAGGGGACATGTACACTGATCATCAGGGCACTGATGATCAGTGTGCCCTGATGATCAGTGTAGCCCCAGCAGTGCCACCTTCAGTGTCCATCAGTGCCTTATGTCAGTGCTCATCAGTGCCTCATGCCAGTGCCCATCAGTGCCACATCAGTGCCACATATCAGTGCCTACCAGTGCACATCAATGCCACATAGCAGTGCCCCTCTGAGCTGCCTTTCAGTGTCACCCATCAGTGCCAGTCAGTGCCACCTATCAATGCCAATCAGTGCCACCTATCAGTGCTGCCAATCAGTGCAGCCTATCAGTGCCAGTCAGTGCCGCCTATCAGTGCCAGTCGGTGCTGCCTATCAGTGCTGCCTATCAGTGCCTGTTAGTGCCACCTAACAGTGCTAGTCAGTGCCGCCTAACAGTGCCAGTCAGTGCCTCCTATCAGTGCTGCCTATCAGTGCCATATATCAGTGCCATGTATCAGTGATGCCTTTCAGTGCCCATCAGTGATGCCTGTCAATGCCCATCAGTGCCACCTACCAGTGCCTCCTCATCAGTGCCCATCAGTGCCACCTATCAGTGTCCATCAGTGCAGGCTATCAGTGCCCATCAGTGCAGCCTCATTAGCGCACATCAGTGAAGGAGAAAAGTCACTATTTACAAAAATTTATAACAAAAACTAAGAAAAAAATTTTCAAAATTTTCAGTGGTTTTTGGTTTGTTTAAGAAAAAATAAAAAACCCAGAGGTGATTAAATACCACCAAAATAAAGCTCTATCTTTCAAAAAAAAAGATAAAAATTTCATATGGGTACAGTGTTGTTTGACAGCGCAATTGTCATTCAAAGTGTGACAGCGCTGAAAGCTAAAAATTGGCCTGGGCAGGAAGGGGGTATAAGTGTCCTGTAGGCTAGTGGTTACAAATTTATTTAAAGCGGACTTTCACCCTTCCAGTGAATTCTCCTCCTCTCCATCCTGCCCCTCCACAGCACCAATATCAGGTCTTTTTTTTTGTTTTACTTAGTTATTTTTTTTTTGGCTTATGAGGCTCGGAATGCTCCCCATCTTCTGGAATTTTCCTACGTGCAGTCCCATTCAGTAAGGAGGAGAAGGCGGGCCTGCTGGCGCCTGCAGCTGGGAAGAGCCAGCAGCTATCAGGAGGCAACATGGTGGTGCTGGACCTGCACAGCAGCTGCAGAGAGAATCCCAATAGTTCAACACTGGATCCGCTGGCTAGGTGAGTATCCTTACTGTGCAGAACACAGTATCAAGCAAGCAGGGAAATTTTTTTTTTTTTTAGAGGGGAGTGATTTATTAAAGAATACAGAGCTGCATTAATTTGCGTCTTTTATATCTGCCTGAACATATTTCTCCTGTTTGCATGCAAGCTTAAACCATATATAGGTACATAGTTAGTCTGGCTGAAAAAAGACAAAAGTCCATCCAGTTCAACGATAAAAAAAAAAAAAAGTTATAATCCTATACCCACAGTTGATCCAGAGGAAGGCAAAAAAACCCAGCAAAGCATGATCCAATTTGCTCCTGCAGGAAAAAAAATTCCTTCTTGATCCCCCGAGAGGCAATCGGATATTCCTTGGATCAACTTTACCTATAAATGTTAGTATCCAGTTATATTCTGTGTATCTAGGAAAGAATCCAAAAGAAGTTACAATTATTCTATTATGAAAGGTCTGGCAACAAACATTTGAAGTCCTAGGTAATTGATTAACTCCTTCACGCCTATCCCGGCGTCCCTTTACCTGGACTATTACAGCCTCTGGGGGGGGGGGGGGGACTTGAAAATCTACCTAATTATGTGACCACTGTGATTGGCTGTCACAGAGCTCACCTGATTGGGAGCTCGTCCCGCCAGTTCCCTATCATTAGAAGAGACCAAGTGCTGTCCTTGACAGCTCAGTCCTTGTACTGGTAGTGCACAGTGTGCACAGAAACCTCTGCAGCCCGTAGAAGCGTATGTGCGGCATGTAGGCATTTAAGTCCACTCACTTTGCCACTGCATATATTATGTGGATGGCAACAGTTTAAGTGGCCTATAATGAAATCCTGCCCTGGACATTTTTAACTACCTTGGGCAAGGCAAACCTTGATGTTAATATTTCTGGTATTATGCATACGATGCATACCATTTCTTTAAATAACAATGCTAATCGCTAAATTCTCTTTTCTGTATATATTTTCCTAAAAACCAAAACGCTTTGAAATGCACACATCAATGGCGTTGAAAACAAACACTCCGGGAACGCAATGTGCTCATCAGCTGGCATGTGAAAATAGGAGGAGGGGGTGTAGGGAGGGAGCGTTTGCTGAAACAGAAGCCATGGTTCTATTTGAATATCAGGCTCTGCCACACTCTGGGCTCGTCTGACAACTTCATTACCTCCGCATATAAAATGACTGCAGGGTAATGCAAATGGCTTTCCGTCACACTTGTGCATTCTGCAGTCAGGCAGAGGGCATCCGGAGACACTGTTGTGAGGGAGACAGCTTTTGTCCAATTTAATAAGATATCTTCAAGCAATAGTCCGCCCACTCTGCATTTGTTATGGGGCCCAGTGACCTAGCCTTTCAGAAATTTTAAGGGGTTGATGTCTTCGTCTTGACCTCAGCTGTCAGTCACCAATGAGAAAAAAATACGGGAGGTAATGTTGAGGCCTTTGCCTATCTGTGGAGAATTTCTAATGAATGTTGGGGAAATTTCACATTACTTGACAAGGTGATCTAATTAATATTATAGAAATGCCAACAGAATATCATTCGGCAGATTGGATTTATCACCTTGAAACGATGTATTACCGTCACTAACAGAACCAGCCTCTCCCCTGACAATGATTAAATTAGACATAAGCATCAATATGTGTTACTCACTGGGAACACAGAAGATCTCACAATTCCTTCTCAGTTTGTCAAATAATTTGGGGAAATGTTAGTATAATGCTGTTCAGAGCCTGAGTCTAAGAGCAATTAAGCAAATCTTGGAAAGCATTTTTACAGGTGATTAATTAGTATGTCCACAGGGGTAGATGTGTGTGTGTGTGCGGGTGTACATGTGCATGTGGTGGCAGTATGATGATGTACTATCTCTGGTCAAGAAAGACTAATATTTAAATTTTTTCTTTTTATATACATAATACAGCAAATTTATACACTACCTACCAGAGGCATAGCTTGAAACTTGTGGGCCCCGATGCAAAAGTTGACCTGGGGCCCCCCCACTACCACCCACTGCTTCCCCCGTGTGCCAAGAGAAAGTAGCTGTATGGTGGCTGTCTCATTGTCTCTATTCTCTCTCTCCTGCTGTTGGATGCACCTGCGCATAAGGTGAAAAAGAGGAAACTCAGAGGGCCAGGCCTAGGCCCTGCCTGGGGTGGGAAGTCCTTTTGGCTTTCACATACAAGCCCACTACTTTCATCTGAAAACTCAGAGTGTGGTCTGCCTACCCCTACCTTGTGTGCATGTGCATGGCTGAGCAAGGCTGAAAAGGTCAGGGAGGGAAGGACTGTACTGGGCTGAGCAGAGTGTGCCTTGCTGGAGGAAAGGGCTTCACCCTGTGTAGGTGAAACTGGAAACTCAGGGGGCCTGGGACAGGCCTGGGTGAGCACTTGCCTGACCAGCCCAGGCCCTCTGAGTTTACTGAATTCCCTACACAGGGTGGTGCAGCAAGCGCTTTTCCCTTGCGGCATGGGCCCCCGAAACATGGTTGAGGTCACCATTGCAATTCATTGCAAGCTCTGTTACCTACCATGCCCAAAGTGACATTTAAAGTATATTTAAATCCAAACAAATATTTTTTTTTGGCTGAGAGGTGAGGGATTAGATTCTCTCTCTGGGTTTTTTTCACTGTCTGATTAACTCTTTTTTTTGTGTCCTGGTGACCACTGTCATCAGGACTGAAAGTGAGGGAAAATCCAAAATTTTGTGGCACCAAAACAAAGTGAAAAGGAAATCTTTCAACAAGACCACTTATTGCGGTGACAGCACTCTAAAGCCCCATACATGTGGGCCGAGTATTGGCAAGTATCGGCTGGTTCAACAGAAACCGCCCGACATTCGGCCCATGTGTACAGCAGCCTGTCCAACAGAAGCCGAACAAATGTCCAGCTTCTGTCAAAGGGGCGGACTGAGAACTCATGGGGCCCCCGGGCAATAGGGGATCATGGGACCCCTGTGTCCTTGCCCATACTCAAAAAAGCCTATGAAAAAGGTACCAGGGGAATCTCATGGGGCCCCCTACTGACCCCGAGCCCTCGGGCAGTGCCTGAGTTTCCAAATGGTCAGTCCGCCCCTGGGCATGACCGAAAAACATCTGCCAACTGGCATCCAACCAGGAGTGCTCTAGTGGAGGGGCAGTCCCCTTGTCAGAACACAGTAGCTCAGCGGGAAAACCGCTGTACTAACATTGGATAGTTAGTACAGTGAGCTCCTCTTGCACTCCTCATTTTTTTTTTTTAGCCCACTGATAGTGTGTACATAGCATAAGAGGGGAATTTTTTTCATAATAAAAATAATTTTTTTATTCCTGTTGTGTTTACAGAGCAGGAAGTGAAGGGATATCTTTCAATATGATAGAGATGGCAAAAAAGCAGACAGGGTTTTAACTATTTTCTATTCTATCCAAAACAATAAACAGTGAAGATTCAGAATAAAGTCAGTCCACTCTCCATGCATAGGTCTCAGGGCATTTACTGGCTTTTAATTTTTTTCAGCAAAATCAGAACATGCTAGTAAGGGTCGGTTCACATCATTACAGTGTGGTTTAGGTGTGTTGCATTTTAGGTGCATTTTACATGTGTTTTAGGTGCATTTTCATGAAAGTGCATCAAAAATGCAGCAAGCAGGGCTTTTTTTTTACGAACTGCACCTTAAACGCACATATTTACATACTGTAAATTACAGAGCTATGGACTTTGTTAACCTCACAGACAAGCCTGCACACCACAGCAGGAACTTCTTGTCCTTTTACAATCCACTTATGTCCTATAGAGAAGACATTGATAAATTAATTAATTTAATTGCCTACTTGCAGTGTTTTTCCATTCCATAAAGATTTTTTTATTTACTTGCAATGTACCCTTGAACTTTCTACAAAAGTTGACTAGTTAATTCCCTAGTAGAACCCCCTCCCTATTTTCATCCATTTCCACTTCTGGGTGTGTCTGACTTAGAGGCGTAGCTTGAAGCTTGTGGGCCCCAATGCACAAGTTGACCTGGGACCCCCCCTTTACCACCTGCCACTTCCACCATGTGCCAAGATACTCCCATGCTTCAAGGGCCCTCTAGCAGGGATATGCAACCTTTCATAGATAGGGATATACCTGAACAACATGAAAAATCAAAGATCACTCGGGTTTGACACCTTTTTTTTAAAGAAATTAACTAGTA